ATTAGAAACTCTCCAATCTCCAGGCACTTGCCCATTGTCTAGTGACCTACCAAAAATGAAAGGGAGGGGCGCTTATAGATCTGATCTTTGACATCCTTTAAAACCCTGTAAAAGATTTTCTTTATGTGTTTCTAAATTTTTTTATTTATTGCTATCAGATTAATATATACATGGTTCATGTCCAATGCAGTATTTTGCACTGAATACAGGAATATCAATAATATCTTTGCTTGTAAACTCAGAAGAGAAGAAGAAATATAATAGCTTAGCTATCTCATAGTCTTAATAAAACATTACCATCAGCATCCTTTCAGGGCCCAGTCTCCATTCTAATATTTTGCTTACATTTAACATACTTAAAAAAAATCCTTGCTGTTAGTTTTAACATCATCACCACCCAGTGATTTCTCATATACTCATTTGGATTTTTGAATCCCATTTTTAACCAAATCCTAGCATTTTTGTAACAATGTCATTCTATCTATCTATTGATTTAAACTTTTTAAACTTACAGCATTTATACCTGATTTTCTGCTTTCTCTTATTAGTAAGCAAATTAAGCTTGTCCAGCTCTGTTATCTTGAATTAAAAGCAATAAGTTTTTTTTAATCTGTCCAGCATCTCATTTTAACTCATAACCCCAGTTCACTAATAATCTTGTCTCATAATCTCAGAATTGACTTTCTGATAATGAGGAATTAGAATTTCATTTTCTTACTTCTGCTCTAGGGACCATAACCTCATTAGTGGTTAACAATAAATCTAAAATGGCATCCTCTCTGATTAGCCTTCTAACCATTTGGTTTGAGGAAACCATTGTGAATGACATGGAGGACTAAAGCATTCTGATGATCTTGTCGTGGGCTGGCTGGGGCAATACATGTAGACATGTGTATGGGTGGGAGTTTGTTAAAGGCTCGTGACACGAGCAAGAAATTCCATTATAGTTGTGCATGAGGTAATAGCTCTTGATGCAGAGGGGTATCTGTCTATCTGAAAAGATTCTCAGATAAGGAGAAACTTAACTAAGCTCATTTTTCTGTAACGGTACTAGTTTCTTAACTGTAGGAAGATACAAATCTGATGCTCAGCATTTTTAGAATTAGAGCTAGACTTACTGCTATAATTTGCTGCATTAATACAAAGTTTTCACTTATTAAACATTGTCAGAACTACATATATGCTTTTGTCATAACATGTCGAGGTAATTTTAAAAAGTGAAGAAACCCTCTACATTGAAAAACTTTTTCTTATAGTCATTTCAAATACAATTTATTTTATCTTATTCCAAATCAGTCACACTAACTTAATTTAAATATTACAAGTTTTTTAAATAAAAATAATAATGTCAGTTGTAAGCAAACACTGAATTAACTCAGTATTCCTACTGTAAATCTATCTGTGTTGTTAATGTAATATATGAATGAATATATAACAAGTTGAATGAAGAGTGTTCCCTGCTTGAAAAGGATGTTGTCCCCCACCAGTTGCTTTCCCAATAGGTAACCCCCAGTCTCATGGAAGTCGTACTCCATGAGCTTTCCCTTTTTGTTACTATTTCAGAAAGAATTTGTCTTTGTGGTTGATCAGCACTGACCTCTCCTCCATGTTCAGTGTGGGATTCTAGCTGTTAGTGGTGCAGAGAGGTAAGTAACATTTCTTAAGTTAACATTTTCCATATATATATACAGATAGTTACCTCTCTGCATCACCTTCTCACCATTCCTCTCCATTTCTGTGCCTTGTTAACTCTTTCAGTTTGAGCTTGGTCCTTGGGGCCGACCTTGTAACCATTTTGTGCTTGCTATAGTTTTCATGCTATAACTTTTAAATTAGTAAGTGAATGTTAATGAAATTTGGCAGATTATCAATGCTTTCATACTCAAAATATCACTTTTTTTTATAAAGTCTTAAGGTTTCTAGAGTAATGTTTTTCTCGTGCTTTTTTCATTTCACATATTGCCCATCTATCATGCAAAGTAATTTTCATTTTAAGATTAAAAATACTTTTATGCATCAGAAAATTTTGAAATTTCACATTCGAAATCTTTATAATATCCAGATAGTTATCAAACATTTCTTAAGAAAAAGCTTTATTTTTCATCTGTTATTTTCATTAAATCTCTGTACAGGTTCGGTAGGTTTGACCAATCTCGCAAACACCGTAAAAATTAGGAAATAAATATAAATTATGCCACTTTCGTTCTGGAATGAACACAAATTATAACACGTAAATGTAAATTTTTAGACTAAATAGCTTAAATCTCATAGCATTATACATTTATGTATATTTATTATTTTTATTATATTGACCTTTCAGCCGTGCCTGGCTAACAATACGGAAGTTACAATGACATGGCTCACGTGCACTCATGTTACCGATCAAATAACAAAAAACTGACCTTTGCTTTGTGCAAAGTAACTTGTCTTGGCTATGTTTTAGTAGACTAGTATTTTGCAAAATAC